AGCTGACCCAAAAATGACATTTGAAAGGTAGACAACTTGAAAAAGGCGCATTCTAAGGGCCAAATCGGGGACAAAAAACCGCCTTGTGCAAATCGGAGCGTAAATGTCCCCCTCGCCAGGAGCCACCCATTGGTTAAACCCACGTTTTCGGGACGTATGCCAGGCCATCTACTCTAGCGTTCCATGCCCGTGGTGTCATATCTGACGGTCGCTCGCGGCTTTGACCTTGTTTCAGGCTCATGTCAAGCCATTCGCAGCCAGGCCTTTAAATTTCTGGGCGCAGCCAAGTTTTTTTAAAGAGAGGGGTGCATCCCAGTGAGAAGTTTGAGAACACATTACGCTGACTGAAAGTTTCATGAGCTTCCCTTCACACTGATTTCAACTTCACTTTCCGTCAATAGACATTTATTGAGAAATTGGAAAAATACGAGTCTAAGAACCCCTTGACAGCACCTCTGTCCCCCAATAACAATGTTGCTGCCATCCTGATATATTTGACCCTGGCCCCGCTTTCCTCCCCCCTTCAGCTGTGAAGGCCCGCCTCCTCTCTCACCGGTCTGAGCGTGCGCAGCGGCTCCTCTTGACTGGACGGCTGGGCGTCCCGCAAGACGCGTGCGTTGGCCAGCGCCTGGGTCAGTAGACCCGGCGGCGCCGTCCGAGTCATCAGCTCCTGCCGGCCCAGCATCGCGACACAGACTGACCGCGGGCCGGCTGACCCGGGTCAGGGCCAGAGCCAGGGACGCGCCCAGGTCTGGGTCAGGGAAGGCACCAGCCGCCCCGGCTCAGGGTCACGCCAGGGGCATGGCCAGGTCCGTGGTCAGGGAGAACACCGGCCGCCCCAAGTCAGGGTCACGCCCAGGGGCGTGCCCAGGTCCGTGGTCAGGCAGAACACCGGCCGCCCCAGGTCAGGGTCACGCCCAGGGGCGTGCCCAGGTCCGTGGTCAGGCAGAACACCGGCCGCCCCAGGTCAGGGTCACGCCCAGGGGCGTGCCCAGGTCCGTGGTCAGGTAGAACACCGGCCGCCCCAGGTCAGGGTCACGCCCAGGGGCGTGCCCAGGTCCGTGGTCAGGGAGAACACCGGCCGCCCCAGGTCAGAGTCACGCCCAGGGTCCGAGTCAACGGGAGACGCGTACTAACGCGCAATCAGACCGGTGATGGACAGGGACGTGCACAATGCCGGTGTGGCGGGAGTTGACTGGTCAGAAGGGACACGGCAGGGGCGCGTCCAGGCTAGTGACAGCGGGGAGGCAACCGGGATCAGGGCACTCCGGCTGCGTCATAAGCCTTTTGATTTAAACTTCTTTTTTTGATACACCTATTTTTCGTCTCTCCGCCGAGTGTTCAGTCGCACTGAGGGGTTTAATGGAGAGATTTGACACTAAGATTAACGAGATTTTCTAGTAAACTTTTCAGCGAATCTGACGACGGAAGGAACAGAAATAAATGACATAGAAAACAAACGTTGTCAAACACACCCAAGATTGTAAAGAAAAACTCGGAAAAAGGAGCTGGACCAATCATAGCCGCAATCGCTAAATCTTTCCTGGCACAAAGCTGCTTACGCGATACGGTAGCCGGTAGCCGCACCCCGTCCGACACCCTGTGGCTGTTGGCTGGGAATGCCTCCGGTTCGCTGGGGTACTCTACGCCAATCACCGCAGCAGCCCGTTGTCACGTGACCGGCCGACAGGGGACCGCGCGGCGTCCCCGGGGCAGCTGACGCCCAATGGCCGTGGCTGCGAGGCGGCGGCCTTCGCACGAGTTCGGTTATCCCCGTCTTAAGGCAGGGGCCAAATACTATGCGATTGTGGTTGGTCGAAATCACCACTGCATGTTAAGAGAATGACATTAAGCAAATGCTGGTTCAAAGCAACCAAAATACGCCACTGTCTCTTCCACATGTTGGTATAATGGGAAGCCTTTCAAAGCTTCAGAAGGCTTCAGAACGCTTGATTTCTAAGGGTTGGACCCAGTTCAAATGCCTCTAGGATAAACTTTTCCTAAAAGATGGAAAACTATCCTAAAAAGGGCCTTCAAGGGCCCCCAGCAATGACCAAAACAGCCGCAACATTGGCACTTGCAATTTTGTGCAAGTGCAACGCGTTGGCATTAAACCACTAATTCCCGCAATCCAGTGATGTGAATACGGTCGCCAATTTTTGTAAATAATTTGGGGTCCGAGCCGAGGGTGTCACAACTCACAACCTCCAAAATGTGTTTCGACGGATTTAGCCTTCTTTTATGAATGCCTATTTGTATCTGCATTCTATTAATCATTTATAAGTAAGCCCATTCTTTGGGCAGCTCAGCAGTCGTGGCCAGCAAATGAGGCCGGAGTTAGAAAGGCTTTGTGTGTGAGGGAGGGGACATAGACGGATCCTGGGGGGGGGGGGGGGCACGGGGCCATGGCCCCTCCAAAACTCTGAGAGTATGTTTTGCCCCCCAAAAACATTCCCAGAGCTTCATGAAAGTTTCGTCTGCTCGCCTCAAATGATGTACCTCAAAATAATAGCCTGCATAATAGCAAATACATAATAGCAAAATAATGCCTCAACATGAGGGCTACAAGCCTTGTAAACATGCATACTGTATATACAAGATTCAAAAGCATTTCGGCGCTTAAATGATGTCCCTACTAGGTGCTCGCGAGAGGCACCATGCCCTGGACCTCGGATTCCACACCAGCCAGCTGGCGACGAACGGTTGGCCCCCCCCCAAAAAAAAAACAACTCCAGGCTAGATCCGCCCCTGGGAGGGATGAGATGTAAGAGGATGACGGGGTTTATTATTTGTTTATCTGTTTAGTTAGGACATAACTGTTCCACTGGTAAAAGCCCAATTACGGAAGCAGTCCAGTTTTAAAAGCAATAAATGTGCGATACACACACGAACAAAACACCTTATCACACACACACACACACACACACACACACACACACACACACACACACACACACACACACACACACACACACACACACACACACACACACACACACACACACATTACACAGTCGCACATCTAGTCATCAATACAATGTTTCACGTCGGGGCAATACAACATCGTGTTTAACCTCGTTTCACGTGTACCGGCGAACCTAATCACATCAGATCGGAATGATTCTGTTTGGATGAAAGAAGTCAATTGAGGAAAAATGTTGCAAAAATGAATGCAGACAGGGGGTAGTCGTGTGACGGTCGGGTGGAAGAGAGAGGCGTGAGATGTGAGAGGGCGGGGAGTGGGGTGTGAGACAAATGGTGGAGTGTGAGGGAAGGGTCTGGTTTCGTGTCCCCCCCCCGCAGACAGTTTCAAGAGGCACCTGACCTCCCCCCTCCAATGCCCTCCTCATTGCTTTGGAGTTGTGCGCTGGAAGGCACGCAGCGACGCCATGTTGGGATATACGGCTGTCATGGCCGGAACTTCGATGTTAATTGCGAAACCAGCTGCATCGCCAGCATCTCACGAAGTTAACGATGGGTCATGGACACGGCAGGGAAAGAATGGACGCAAATTGAACGCTTGCATTCCCATATCTGTGGAAAACTTAAGCTTCTTGTTATACGCTTGGCAATTTATTAACCCACGCCCGGGCGAGCGAAGTTGGCTTCTCCCTTACGGTTTTTCGACGACAGGCCAAAGACGAGCGCTCGCAGCAAAACGACGCGGTCGGTACCTGCTCATCGATCAGCTTTGTTTCCTATGTGCTGATTTTAAGTTTTCATCGACCAAGATGAGTGACCTAGATAGGTCAGAGGTCAACCTCTAAAAAACTTCGACCTTATATAGCTTTTGTGGACCATTTACCATTGTTCAAACTTGGTTAAGTATTAAAATATGATAGTACCTACAATTTGCATATTTCAGGCTCCTCAAAAATGCGAGGTCAGTGACTTAGTCAGGCAAACTTGTTTTTTTCGTAAATACTGCAAATTTGTATATCTTTTGTGTAATCTCGGTGTCTGCACATGAGGAAAAGGGTACTAACTTACATGCACAGCTATCATGTAACTGGACCTTGGCCCAGGTCATGACTATATGGATAACTCCATGGATACCTTCCGCAAAATACATGCTGAGCTGAAAAAGGCAGTTTTATGGGCGCACTTGTGGATGTAGAACGTGTTTTGACCTTTCGTAACCTCACATTTGACCAAAGGTCATTCATTTAGTGCGCATCCTCCATGATTTGACGAGACCCTCAAAACGGTATCTCCCTTTTCCTCATACGGCACCAGGGAGTTATAGATCCCAGGGAGGGGGCAACCTCCCCGGCTTGGAGCGGTTGTCTGACCCCGTGGCTGGGCGCGGGTTAAGCGTTATTACCACCGCTTTCATGGCAAGGGACGATGGCCGTCGCACTCCGTTTCTCAGGGGCCACACACTCAGCGTTTTCAAACGGCGCCGGGTCCCCCTGTTCTGAAGTGGGACAGATTTACGTCCGAGAGACCGAGTTATTTCAAGGGATGTCATGTCGTTGGACAGGAATTTCAAACACGTAAAAAATTGACATTTCAGTCGACGCTTCGGAGATATTTAAGGAATTTCATGCATCACGCATCACTAGACTAGGCGCATGTCGAGGACTGGATCGTTAACAAAAATCCATGCATGTTCAGGACTAGATCCTTGAAAAAGAACAAAAAGACGAAAAAGTGGACTTCGCCAGCCCTTCTGTTCGTTGCAGAGATAGCGCCTGGGGGGGGGGAAGGACCAGCGTCCCGGAGCCGGATTAACAGGCCGCATAATCTTGTATCAGTATGAAATCTAATCTGGCCCCTGTGGCTTGTTTTAAAGGCGACGATGCTGGCTGGCCCGGGGGAGACTAGCCGTCATTCATCACGCAGGCCTTCATTCGTCCACGTAACCTGCACCCCATCATGTCTGCGCTGTCACTCGCCCATCACGGGAGGACGAACCCCTGCATGTCAGGAACGCCAAACACTTCACATAGCCACCCACACCTATGCCGGTTTCCCAGCCTCGCACAAACACTCCCAGATCATCTCCGTGGTATATTGTTATAAGCCTGAGGGCGTCATACGCGGGTCGGGTCACGGCCCCCCCCCCCCCCCAGCGGGGCCGACGGGCCTCTGTCGGAGCAGCCGTCGGAGGCCGAACACTTGAGAGGTGAACCGGTCGGGGCACGGCCTCCCCAGCGGGGCAGACGGGCCTCTGACGGAGCAGCCGTCGGCGGCCGAACACTTGAGAGGTGAACCGGTCGGGTCACGGCCTCCCCAGCGGGACCGACGGGCCTCTGTCGGAGCAGCCGTCGGCGGCCGAACACTTGAGAAGGGGAGCCGGTCAGGTCACGGCCTCCCAAGCGGGGCAGACGGGCCTCTGACGGAGCAGCCGTCGGCGGCCGGACGCTTGAGAAGGGGAGCCGGTCGGATCACGGCTGACGCCACAGTCAAACAGCGCCAGACATCACCATGGCGTCGACACAACACGCTTGCTATTACGCCGTCGTTGGATTGGAGACATTTAGACGTAATTCGCCATCAAAATTCAAACTCCAACTCATCGATGGGCGGAGGCGGCGTCGTAGACGGTGGCGCCGCCGCTGGCTGACCCGCGGAACCTGTGGTTTCGGGCACGGCCGCCGGAGAGATCATCCTGAAGCTGAGCACCAGGACGAAGGCGTACACCATGAAGTCGTTCCAGGCTTGCGAGAGGAACGTGATGTAGCGTCCCCACAGGTCCAGCGTTCGGGGCGAAACACCGCAGAGCATCAAGGCCGTACCTAGGAGGCCTGGGGAGGGCGCGCACCACACGCCGGTTACGGTGGAGTCAGGCGGAGAAAGCATTGCAGCGCATCAACTCAGGACCACGGACGGCACGAACGGTTACGTCATCACTGGATCTATTTCTGCTTTCCGCGTCTGAGGCAGACGTCGTGGCCCCGCGTTTTCGGCACTGTTAGCGATAGCGATGAAAATCGGGCTGGATTATGCCGGCAGCTTGTAGAAAGAGGATGTCGAAAAGCCATCTATCTGTACGGACCTGTTTGGACATTCAGTGCTTTAAGGCCAACCAATACATCGCTTGAATCACAGGTGTACAACGCTCTGGTAACTCCGCTATATCTTATTGTGTCTCGTCTTGCATAATTTTTCCCTTCACGCCGTGAAAATAACGCAAAGCTATAGCCGCACCACAGGCCCATGAATAGCTCAACTTCACCTGGTCCTAATTTCAATCCGGCAGCGCCCACAGTTTGCCGCCAAAGGCAAACAAAAAGTGGACATATTCCCATCTGTGACAGTGCACACGGGCGGGACTCACCCATGTTGGGTCGCAGCGGCACTGAACAGAGCCGTATAACGTAGGAGGTCGTCTCTAACACGAAGAAAGGCACCAGTACGTTCTGCAGAGAGCGGAGCAACCAAGTCAGCACCAAACATTGAGCACAGCAAGGCAGATCGCGTAACGTGTGAGATGAAGCCGCACCACCGTCAGCTAACACGGGGGACACCATAAACATAGTACGGGTCACAATTTGGGAGACGCTGTGCTGGCGCATTTCACATTGAAAATGTCACAGCGGGTTGAGCTTGGTACATAGATTGTCCACCCGACATTGTGACATTAAAGCGAAATGTGTCTTATCGACGGAGCGCTGAAATCAGTTGATGCTTCTCGCACACATTTTCACCCAACACATTCCCCCTCCCCCGTTGCGATCGGGCACGTGAGCGCAGCATCCCGCCCGCCAACACAGTCCATCAGTTTGAGGGCTGTTGTTGTTGCGGCTTTGCGACGCGCTCAACTGGTGGGGCTTTATGGCGTCACCTGCCTCTCACCCTGGCAGGAAGGACGGGCACCGCGGGGAATCGAACCCCGCGTCTCCGGCTTCCTAGACGCGCAGTGGTTAACGCAGACACGGGATCAGTTTCAGGGAAAACAGCGTGTCAACACGCGCACATCCGATCCTGCACGTGCTTGTCATTCAGTCAGATCCTCGCACGACAGCCTCACCTGACTGATGAGGGCCCCGAGGCCGGCGAGCACCGACAGCCGGGTGAGCAGCGCCAGCAGAGCCACGACCACCCAGCGGTGCTGATCCCACCGCTGCCACCAAACGCTGGACATCGACGCACTGCTGCAGCATAACACAACCACAATGAGGAGCTCTCAGAGCACCAAGTCATACCAAGTGAGCGCATTTCCTGTTTAGAGGCAATGTACACACAGCGGTACACACAGTGGTACGAACGTCGGCATGTACACACAGTGGTACATGCTAGCCACTGCGCGTTTCGGAAACCAGAGGTACGGCGTTCGATTCCCAGCGGGGCCGTCCCTCCTGCCAAGGTGAGAGGCAGGCGACGCCGTGCATCCTCAGCAGATGCGTGTGTCGTAAAGCCCCAGTGAAAACGAGGTGGTACATGCTTGGAATAACACTGAAAATCCGGAGACGAACGACCCTTCTTTCTTTGGATAGCTCGGCCGATCTACAAGTCGCAGGAGCCATTAACTCCAGCTCCATAGTCCACAGTCAGCCCACGTCCAGACAACCGAGAATGAGGCCGGCAAGGGGCGGCGGTACCGTGATGTGGCATGCCACGAATACGATCTTTCAGTACTGTTTACCAGCAGGCCGAAGCAGCAACTTTATCCTGAAATGCAGCTGTTCCGTTGGGTTGGCCGGGTCTCGGCCACAAATTATGCTTAGCAAGGACTTTGAACCAAAAGCCATCTCTGCCAAACACTCGATCGAACTGAACACACGTCACCCACTGCCACCACCGGCATCATCATCACACCAAGTCCATCACCACGACCATCGCCGAGTGGGCCCCGCCTGGTTCCGCCTCTGCGCCGTCTCACCGCAGTCCATCAGTGGCGTCCCCAGGCACGCCGGCCGGCGGGGCCTGACCGTTCAGCTGGCGGAACAGGTCCTCCACGTTGGGCGGCGGCGCGCCGGCCGGCCACCCGGCGTCCCGCTGGGCTCGGCGCAGAATCTGCACAGCGGGTCAGAGGCCAGATCATCATGTCAGGAGGCGCTGGGTCAGCACATATCATGTCCGGAGGCGTAGGGTCAACAGACATGGAATCAGGAGGCGCCGGGTCAGCAGATATCGCATCACGAGGCGCCGGGTCAGCACATATCGTGTCAGGAGGCGCAGGGTCGGCAGACATCGTGTCAGGAGGTGCCGGGCCAGCAGACATCGTGTCAGGAGGCGTAGGGTCAGCAGACATCGTGTCAAGAGGTGCCGGGTCAGCAGACATCGTGTCAGGAGGCGCCGGGTCAGCAGACATCTATCAGGAGGCGCCGGGTCAGCAGACATCGTGTCAGGAGACGCCAGGTTAGCGGACATCGTGTCAGGAGGTGCCGGGTCAGCAGACATCGTGTCAGGAAGTGCCGGGTCAGCAGACATTGTGTCAGGAGGCGCCGGGTCAGCAGACATCGTATCAGGAGGAGCCGGGTCAGCAGACATCGTGTCAGGAGGTGCCGGGTCAGCAGGCATCGTGTCAGGAAGTGCCGGGTCAGCAGACATTGTGTCAGGAGGCGCCGGGTCAGCAGACATCGTATCAGGAGGAGCCGGGTCAGCAGACATCGTGTCAGGAGGTGCCGGGTCAGCAGGCATCGTGCCAATAGGTATGACACTGGGGGTCAGGTCAAAATGTGCCCGGTCAGTACACCGTCAGGTCAGTTGTGGTCAGGCCAGTACAAGTCACTAGTCAGGAATCACATCCAGGGGTGATGAGATGGGCCTCCCTGATGTGCGTGGAGAAAACGAGTTAAACGCTTAGCTGTATAGTTCAAGGTGATCATGCTGAAGAGGCCTCAATAGCCCCATTTAGATAGGACTGATTTGTTATGTTGCCAGATAGACCATAGCGAGGGCCAGAAATTCTCTAGAAATGGCCAAATTCTGGCTGACACCAGGTGCGTTGCGACGGTTGCGGACGCTTTTGTTAACCGTTATCCAGTTCCTTAATTTGTTGAATACAAAGTGAGGGCATGACACGACAATATATAAGCGCAAAAAGGCTTACACCTGAGCTATACGTATATGTGCACTGTTTCGTGCGGCGCAGTTTGATATCCCTTGGCCCAGGCTTCCATATCCTTCAGCGGCGGCCGCGGCCAGTCGCTGATTGGTCCAGGCTCCGTCCAAAATGTGTCGTCAGTGACGACTGGTCGCGTGTTGTGGAGGTGAAGGGGAGTCCGGGATAAAGGCGAAGGGAAACTTGCATGAAAGCAAGAGTGTCTTGTTCTGCCAAAGCTAGATGAAACAAAAGACTGCCAAGCGGGTGATAACCTTCCCGGTTGCGGGCCACGCCCACGGCCTGCGATAAATGCCATGTAACTGGGACTGCTGGCTACTATAAAGACCATTTCACTGTAGAAATTTAACTGTAATAGAAAGCACCTTGGTGCCGCCTATGCCTCCAGAGGTCAGAGGTCAAATCAACAGAGATCACGCATCAGGTCAGCAACGGTCAGAGGTCAGATCACCAACCGTCAGAGGTCAGGTCACCAACAGTCAGAGGTCAGGTCAGCCAGCTACATATGCAATCAACCTAAGAAAAACATGACCTGCTGCTTTTGCAAACAGCTGTTATTCATTACATACACATCGCCGTCACTCAACGATAAACGAAGCAGCACAAAGAAACGTAACAGAGACCCGATGCCTCTTCATGCTAACATCTGTTAAAAAAACGTTTTAGCCACCACAGCTGCATGTGCCCAGCCTCATCACATCCCTATGGGTCTCGCGAAGCAAATCAGCCTCATGCTTTGCATTCTACAACATTCACCAAGTCCAAGCACAAGTTGTGTGACGCACTGCCTGAGATCATCAGGCTTCCTCTGACCATCCAAAGAGGCGAGCGTCACCGGCACCCCTTGGCCAGCTCTTTATTGGCAAGGCTGTTAGTAAGGGCGGTTCTTGATTAAGTGGCGGGTGCTGCTTTGCTTATTGCTGAATAACAGCGTTGTTCATGTACCGGGCAACAGCTATTGGAAGGGCGTCTGCCCGACGCCGTTGCCCGTGGCATCAAAGGTAACTACATCACAACGCACCCTACACCTTGAACTTGGCCATTCGTGTGCCATGTGTCTACCTGTGGCGCCACCTGCACCACCCCCGGGCAGCAGCTGTCTTGTCAGTGGGGCACCACCCCCGGGCAGCAGCTGTCTCGCCAGTGGGGCACCGCTCCCCGGGCAGCAGCTGTCTCGCCAGTGGGGCACCGCTCCCCGGGCAGCAGCTGTCTCATCAGTGGGGCACCACCCCCGGGCAGCAGCTGTCTCATCAGTGGGGCACTGCTCCCCGGGCAGCAGCTCTCGCCAGTGGGGCACTGCTCCCCGGGCGGCCGGGGCGGTCCATTACCTCGTGAATGGGCTGGTCGGGTGGGTCTGGGCACGCCTCGGCCGCCTCCGCCGGTCCCACCAGCTCCTCCGCCGGCGGCGCTGCGCGAGAAACGGACCGGGCCTGTCACGCGAGGGCTGGCAGGCGACGGCGGGAATGTAAGCACGCTGAGACTGACCGATGTTTCCGTCCGGCACGGCGCCATGAAGCTGAGCGCGCCCGCCGCCGCCCGCCGTGGGTGACGTCCCTCAGCACCCGACCTCCCAGCTGAGCACGAGGTGCCAGCGGATGGCATCGGCCCCGATGCTGTCACGACGCCGAGCGCGCCCGCCGCGGGTGACGTCCCTCAGCACCCGACCTCCCAGCTGAGCACGAGGTGCCAGCAGATGACATCGGCCCCGATGCTGTCACGACGCCGAGCGCGCCCGCCGCGGGTGACGTCCCTCAGCACCCGACCTCCCAGCTGAGCACGAGGTGCCAGCAGATGACATCGGCCCCGATGCTGTCACGACGCCGAGTGCGCCCGCCGCGGGTGACGTCCCCCAGCACCCGACCTCCCAGGTGAGCACGAGGTGCCAGCAGATGACATCGGCTCCGATGCTGTCACGACGCCGAGCGCGCCCGCCGTGGGTGACGTCCCTCAGCACCCGACCTCCCAGCTGAGCACGAAGTGCCAGCGGATGACATCGGCTCCGATGCTGTCGGCGCGCGCGCGCCGCCCCGCCCCGGGACGCGCCATGTCATGACAGGCGACAGTGGGAACAATTCCACCACAGCGAACACTTCCCCGACAGCGACGCCGTGCCACAAACAATATTTACCATTATATAAATTTAACCAAGTATTTTGAAGTAGCACTTTGTCACTGAAGCCCTTGCAAGTTCACCTTGTCCGGACCCTCACTCCGCCACATAAGCAGAGCAGCTTTAATCCAACAGTGCTTGCCCACAGCTTGCCCAGTGCTTCCCAACAAGGGCACACTGCACACGCTGAGTGTTACCGTGATTTCTGACGGGCTCGGCAGCATCACTCCGGCCACACAGTCGGCTCATGCGGCTCTGGGCGTTCTCCAGGATCTTCCTCTGGCGCGCCTCTCGCCGGCGGTCGGCGGCGCTCCGGCCGTCCGCCACTGCTGCTCCGTCCATTGTTGGCGCTCACTGGTCAGCAGAGCCAGTGGGCTGTTGGCAGAGGGGGGGGGGGGGGGGTGATGGTCAGCAGCGAAACATGGGAGTATCACAGAGCTCCAGTAGTGAGAAGGGAGCCTGGACAGGCAGCCCAGTGGTGATGATGGTCAGCAGCAGGACATGGTGGCATCACAGGGCTCTAGTAGTGAGAAGGGAGTCTGGACAGGTGACCCAGGGGTGATGATGGTCAGCAGCAGAACATGGCAGCATCACAGGGCTCTGGTGGGGAGAAGGGAGACTGGACGGGCAACCCAGGGGTGACGTTGGTCAGCTGCAGAACATGGCAGCATCACAGGGCTCCAGTGGTGAGAAGGGAGACTGGACAGGCGGCCCAGGGGTGACATTGGTCAGCAGCAGAACATGGCAGCATCACAGGGCTCCAGTGGTGAGAAGGGAGACTGGACGGGTGACCCAGGGGTGATGATGGTCAGCAGCAAAACATGGTGGCATCACAGGGCCACAGTAGTGAGAAAGGAGCCTGGACAGGCAACCCAGGGATGATGATGGTCAGCAGCACAACATGGCAATATCACACAGCTCCAGTAGTGAGAAGGGAGCCTGGACGAGTGACCCAGGGGTGATGATGGTCAGCAGCAGAACATGGTGGCATCACAGGGCCACAGTAGTGAGAAGGGAGTCTGGACGGGCAACCCAGGGGTGACATTGGTCAGCAGCAGAACATGGCAGGATCACAGGGCTCCAATGGTGAGAAGGGAGACTGGACAGGTGATGGACAGGTAATGTCAGCACAGGAACATAAAGAGCTGACTAAGCAATGCACTGGCTGATGACATTCCAAAATTATCAAGTTAGTTATCCAAGATGTAAATGTAAAGTCATACTTCCAAAATCCTTTGTCCCCAGTGGCACCCACATACTATCAGTCATTCACCACTGGCTGGGCTAATCTCTTGCCCTTTGACACTAAACCCAGACACCTAAGCTGGCTGGCCCTTGGAGATGGACCGACTGTTAGCGGCCAGTTTGATGTGATTGGCCAACTTTAACTGAGGGGAAGGGCAACAGCCACTAGGCAGTGAACCCTGAGTCAAATGTGTAATAACATAGACAATGCTGACATCCCTGCTGCCCAACAACATTGAAACACTGTTAGCCCAAAGGGTCAGGGTGTACTTTCCTACCTAACGTTAGAAAAAATCATTGTACACCATTCGTCGTGTTTAAGGCATGACATATCGTAAATAATCTCAAAACAGGTAGAATCATGCTCCTACTTTCGAATTTCAATAACTTCGATGGCGGGCCCCCGAGCGCCGCGCGCACCGCACCGCCTGGACTCCCCAGCGCCGTTTCCGCGTTGCCGTTGCGTAAATACAATAGTTCTGCGTACCAAGAACTGTACAAAATGTACGGGGCCAAAGTAAACCATTCGTCATGTTTAAGGCAGGACATATCATAAATAATCACAAAACAGGTAGATTAATGATCTTAGCTTCAATTTTTTTTTATAATTACGATGGCGAGCTCCCGAGCGCCGCACACACACAGCACCCGCGACACCGGCGCCATTACTGCTCGGGTCACAACATTACTGCGAACCGTAAAAATGTACCGGGACAAGGAAGCAAGAATCCATGAAATTTGATCCTCGACGCCAACGGGACCATGGGTTGCAGGGGGATTGGGTGGGGAATGTAAAGCAAAATGAGAACATGGCAGCTAAATAAAAGCTCACTATATGGCACCTATATATGGCATGGAACATGGATGCCAATGAGATGCTGGGTTGAAGGGGATATAGGGTGGGGAGGCTAGGTTAGGTTAGGTTAGGTTAGGTTAGGTTAGTTAGGTTAGGTTAGGTTAGGTTAGGTTAGGTTAGGTTAGGTTAGGTTAGGTTAGGTTGGGTTAGTTAGGTTAGGTTAGGTTAGGGTAGGGTAAGTCAGCTTAGCTAAGCTTAGGTTCTGGTCTATTCTCAGGTTAGGTTAGGTTAGGTTAGGTTAGGTTAGGTTAGGTTAGGTTAGGTTAGGTCAGATCAGGTCAGGTCAGGTCAGGCTAGCTTAGCCTAGCTTAGCTTAGGTTCTGGTCTATTCTCAGTTAGGTTAGGTTAGGTTAGGTTAGGTTAGGTTAGGTTAGGTTTGGCTAGTTTAGGATATGTTCTGGACTATTCTGGCCTGCGTGTTTCATAAATGTACCTAAACTCGATAAGAAACGATTTTGGTTGCTTTATTATTGTTACCCTGGTCCCGTACATGTTTTATGGTTCTTGATAAGCAGAAATATTGTGCTTTCGCAACAACGCAGAAACGGCGCTTGGAAGTCGAGGCAGTGCGGTGCGGGGCGTGCGGCGCTCGGGAGCTCGCTATCGTATTTATTAAAATTCGAGGGTGGGAGCACGATTCTATCTGTTTTGAAATTATTTACGATATGTTCCGCCTTAAACACGACGAATGGTTTACCTTGGTCCCGTACATTTTGTAGAGTTCTTGGTAAGCAGAAATATTGTATTTACGCAACGGCAACGCAGAAACGGCGCTGGGGAGTCCAGGCGGTGCGGTGCGCGCGGCGCTCGGGAGCCCGCCATCGAAGTTATTGAAATTCGAAGGTAGGAGCATGATTCTGCCTGTTTTGAGATTATTTACGATATGTGCCGCCTTGAACACGACGAATGGTGTGCAATGATTTTTTCTAACGTTAGGTAGGAAAGTACACCTACACCGCCCAAAGAGTGCCTACACAGCTGCTAGATGGGGCCTGCTAGCCAGTACTGCAACATCAGCTGCTACAGGCATGGCACAGCAGATCAATTGTTTTGCTGACTGCCATCAGGCCAATTGGATTTACAACAGTGAGGAGTACAAATTTTGATGGTGCCAATTCACAGAACATGTTTGAAAAACAATTTTTTTCCACACCAGGCCCCAGCAGGTGTCCACCATGACCGTTTGCCAACATCGATGCAGAGGCAATTTACAACAGGAAAGTTAGCTACCCATCTACCCTTAAATACATTGCAAATGTTTTTTTCTGCCTAGGTACTGCAGTGCGCACATGGTAGCATGAGCAGGTAGTTAATTCACGGTGTGCAAATACAGGCCAGTGCCGGTCACTGCACATACTTTGAACCTGATATACCCGGTCTAATTTTGTACCAATGCCGGTTCATGCATTACATATAGATTTCGATAAAACCGAAACTGGTATAATATGCCATTTTATGCATGTATCCATAGGAAACACTCCACAAACAAATTTACCACCACCCCAATTCGACACCCACCTCCCGACTTAAGTCCTACGCAGTGACAATCACAGCAAGCGATCCAGCCTCGATCATTAGAATCAAGGATGCCTGCTACAACCAAAATAAAGATATTGGGCAATAAATGACGTCAGGTAAATGTAAATTAGTCGATATGAAATTTTGTAGTTTTTTTCTTACCTTTTGAATTTTGAATGAAATAAAAATTGCTCTTTTACCAGTCTTTTTAGACGAAATGCAAAAAACAAAACCTGAATCACAACAACGCAAACGGAAAGCCATCGTACTAAAAATAAGAGCCAGGCCTTGTGGTGAAAACAGCGCATCCGCGACAAAGAGCTGAGAAACGCGCTGTTTGTTTTCGAGAGAGCATTTCAGTTGAACGGCGTCGTTGTCCAGGGGGCTGTGCATCCAACGGTCTAGTGCATCGCGTTGTTTAAGTGCTGTCGCTATGGCGTTGAGATTCTTGATAAATTTCTCAAACAAGCCGGTGGAGAAGATTACCACTTCGCTTTTATTTAGGTACTTGGGTATTATGCATCTTCTATGTGAACCGCATCATCAGTTTCTAACTTACAGCAGGGAGCAGCACAGTTGAGGCTAGATGCATAGGTGCTGGGGTTCAGGCTGATGCGCTATGGTTAGACTCAGTCTATGCATTTAATACCATACAGCTCAGCCCATATTATGACTGTGCCCAGCAGGGGTTATGTCTCCATATTTGGAAAATCTAGAGCACATTGCTCAGTTTTGCTTGCAAGCCAAGTTAAGCACTGAAGCCTTGACAATTGCCTATTTATCTCCATATTGCAGTGAAAGTTTTAAGGTCAGTCATCACTAAGACCATCTGAAAATTTAGCCATTTCACACCACTTCCACCATAACAAGATTGAGCATATGAAGCTCAGAGTTGGAAGGTGGACTGAAGTACTGGAATGATGATGCAGTTTGTTGCATTAGCCATGATTTCAAAAGGGTTCAAGGTGGGCATTTGTGGCTTGCTTCATAAGAACACCTCATATGTAAGCCACCTTTAAGACTGGAAACATCATCACTAATCATCAAACAGAGGAATGTTATTCATCAGTTGTGACCTAACCTTAGGACTTTTATGACCATGAAAATGATGGCAGCCATGGGTCTTCAACACTGCTGGCACAACACTGATGCTTAAAAACCATCCCTTCAGATCAAGGCCAGCTGCTTATCCTCATCTTTGGATACTGGTTGTTGGTTAGTTGACATGACAGGTAAAAGTCTGGTGTCTTAGTATCTTAAAAGTGTAATTTTCTTGAAGCTGTCCAGCAATAATGTTGCATGCATGCAACTGTGTAACCTAACAACCTAACTTTACCTAATCAAATCTCACCTCACTACAACCCACCCCACCCCACTGTGCTCTACTAGACCAGACCAGACCAGATGAGACCAGACCAGACCAGACCAGACCAGACCAGACCAGACCAGACCAGACCAGACCAGACCCTACATAACCTGACCTGATCTAACCTTACCTTACCTTACCTAACTCTTTTCCTAATTATACCCCTGCTCCTACTCCTACCCCAACTCCTATCTCACCCCTACCCCCATTGCAATCCTACCCATACTCCTACCCCAATCCCTTCCTCACCCCTACCTGTCCTGCTTTCCCACCCCTACTACTACCCCTACCCTGACTCCCACTCCCATTCCTGTTCCCACTCCCACCTCCACTTCCATTCCTGTTCCCACTCCCACAAATCATCCCCACTCCTACTCCCACTCCCACTTCCACTTCCACTTCCACTTCCACTTCCACTTCCACTTCCACTTCCACTTCCACTTCCACTTCCACTTCCACTTCCACTTCCACTTCCACTTCTACTTCTACTTCCACACTTCCACTCACACTCACACTCATGGTGGAGAAGCAAATGTTGGCCTTGATCTGGTGGGGGGGGGGGGGGAAGGGACACCCAACTTTATGAAGTAGGCCACAACAGGGGTGAAACAATTTTTAATGTATGCCAGAGGTAGTTTTAGCCATTTTCCATCAGTCATCTCCTCCCATTCCAACTCATTTTGCTAACCATACCCTCGGCTTCCGCCGCAACCAGAACTGGGTGTGATGAATGCTCTTTTAACCAATATTGCTGCAGATGCGCTGTGGTGCACAAGACCCCAGCTGCCGTCGTGAGGTTGGACACCGTCGAGCCAGTCGTGTACACGATGTTGCGGCCGGTCGTCTCGTGCGGCCCTGACCTGACCCGTGAGCCGGTCCTGTCGCAGACACTCGGCCGGCGCCAAGACCTCGGCGCCGGGCGTCACGCTGCCGCAGAAGCCGAAGATGCCCCGCTCCGGCTACATCAGGTTCGTCGCCGAGACCATGGCCAAGCTGAAGACGGAGGCGCCCGGCACCAAGTCTTCAGGTGAGCCGGGATGGCGCCGAGTGCTGCCGCCTCCCGTCCCCCGCCGCCGGGTGGGGACTGTGCGGTCCTGGTCTGGGGCGGGGTCTGGCGGAACTGCACGGCGGACTGACCGGGGCTGGCCGGCTGCGTGTCCTCTCGTCGCGCGGGTCTAACGGGCGTCGGTTTGTGGGGCAAGCTTGGTCAGGAAGGCCGCTCGTGAGATGTCCGGTCCGGCACAGCCCCCGCCTCCCCATTAAGTCACGCCCGGGGTGGTCAGTCATTATTTTCGATGTTTTTTACCGGGTGTAACTACTGCATGTTAATGCATATTTGGAAAAGAGGCAGGTCCAGTTTATGCCTGAGTGACACGCTCCGACAAAGCGTAGGAACACCGTCAGCGTGATCAGCAGTTAATTGTCACAGAAAGAGCCACGGCTCATTCCATGGCAAAGCGTAATGCAGTGGTGAGCAGAGTGCCTGCTGCTAACTTTCTTCAGTTGCGCCGGGCGTTGGAGCGCTAACTTGCCTTATTTGGAGCGTCCGCAGCGTCGGCTGTCACCGTCCGGCCGTGACGTCATCACTCCCGTGCTCTCCAGACATGGTGGTGAAGGCGTCGAAGCTCTGGAGGGAGCTGGATCCCGCTGAGCGGAAGCGCTTCAACGACGCGTCCGCCACCGAGAGGGCCAAGTGGCACGTAAGACCAACGCGGGTTGTACACGACGCGTGCTGAGGATTGTGATGAGCTGTCAGGGGGAGCTTTCAGGGGGATCTGAAACCTCGAAATAGTCGTGTGCTCCGGGTCTGGTCCGTGTGCCCCGGGTCTAGTCCGTGTGCTCCGGGTCTAGTCCGTGTGCTCTGGGTCCGTGCTCTGCAACGCGTCGTGATGCCATGCTTTTCTGGCGTCGTTTTGCAGATGACAGTGGCAACGTAGTGGCAGTGTACTTTACTCGCACAGGTCGCCGAATTTGGTCACGTCTCCCTGGTGATGATAATGAAGGTAATCATGTCTTCTTACCACTTAGCAGTTCATGACGGTGTGTGTGAGTTTGGCTTGCCTTGTCGGGTCATGACTCAGACGCCGTCATCGACACTGCATCTGATGGCGTCCGCTTACACTCGCCTGACTCGGGACTCACTGGTCCGAGACCGCTGGGGGCGACCCTCTGACTCGGGACTCACTGGTCCGAGACCGCTGGGGGTAACCATCTGACTCGGGACCCTTGAACTCCGCCGCTCCTCTCCTTTTCCGTCAGAAGAGGACTGCATGTCGCTCCCCCACCGCGTCCCCCACGCCCCCATGCCCCCTTCCACCAGGAACGGGTGACGAGTTCATCTCCCCCGATCCCCGTCGAAGGTACCCACGTCTCAGCAGCGCACGAGATAGCTTCCGCTCACCCCGCCAATCCCGTCATAAGTTTGTACGCGCTCCCCTCATCTCTCCCTCCCTTGCGGCAGCCAGTCGCCGCCCTTCCCCCTCCCCCCATTTACCACTTGTGCTCCGTCAAAAGGTCCTCATCACCCCAGCCCTGCCCCGCCCCACCAGGGGAAGGTGGCCGCGTTCGAGAGCGTGACCAGCTGGTGGTCCTCGTCACCCCAGCCCTGCCCCGCCCCACCAGGAAAAGGTGGCCGCGTTCGAGGCGCAGCTCAGCCAGCGCGAGCGTGATCAGCTGGTGGCCGAGCGGCAGCGGCAGCGCGACCGGCAGAGGGACGAGCGACAGCGGCGCCAGCGGCGGCGCCAGCTTACCGACCTGCAGCGGCCGCGCAAGCCGCCCAACTCCTTCATGCTCTTCTACATGGAGCGCGTGCCCGAGCGCAAGGACATGCATCAGAAGGTCGGCAGCGGCGGGCGCAGGCGCGCTGGATTGGAGGTGGTCGGGGGAGTGGCAGGCCACGGCTGGACGAGCGGGGGATGGGGAGAGGTAGGGGAAGTGGTCGGGGAAGGGGAGGCCACGGCTGGACGGGCCGGGTAATGGAGGTGGGTGGGATGGGGTGGGGAGACGGGGTGGGTGGGTGGAATATCCGCCTTGTCTAACGCGAGCGTATAATTCGCCGCTGGGAGTGGGAGATTGGAGAATAAAGCTGGGTCCAGAAATGAGAGATTGTTTTTGTTTCCCGGTCATTTCCCGGTTTCTTGATACGTCAGCCACTGCGTCACCGGCGCGACACGGGCTGGGTGGCGGGCAGGACCATGACCCCGTCCTGCTCCGTTTCAGGAGTTCCTGGCGGAGATTGGCAAGCGCTGGGCTGGCATGAGCGAGGAGGATAAGTTTCCCTACGTCAAGCGGTTCCAGGACCTGAAGGTACGGTCGCCGGTGTCGCACACGCCGGTGTGCGACACTGCTGTCCGTTTTCGTCTGCTCGGTGTGTGCGTGCCCTGATGGTGCCGTCCGTTCCACTCGATCAGACTTTGTCTGTTCGGTTTGTCTCAAACGGAGTGGCTTTGTCTGCGCCTTCTTTCAGCGTGCGTGCAGTCCGTGAGCTTGTGACGTCACAAGCGCGCGGATTTTATTCCGAAAAACACGGACGACGTGGCTGAAAAGCTTGGCACTGCTGCTCCTCTGATCTCAATGGCCATGATTTGGTGATGGGGTCGGCTTCGTACATTCCCGAGATTGACTCGTGCTGCCATGGCCAATGGGTCAGTCGCTGTGTGTTTAACTGACTTGCAGCAGGAAGCTAGTTCATCTCTCATTTTTGCCCGCATCGGTTCTGTGCAGGAGACGTACGCCAAGGAGTTGGAGGCTTGGGAGAAGCGAATGATCAAGGAGGGACGGTCCGATCTCGTCCGGAGTGAGTATTCCGACCAGGGGGGGGGGGGGGGGGGGGGGGCGCCGGGTAGACCTGAGCCAGTGACCGGGAGTCCGTAGTGAGTAACTCCAGACCGCCAGGGGGCAGACCCAGAGCGGACCGCTGGGCTGGGACTGAGCCAGTGATCGTGATCGAGGAGCCTACGCTCTGTTGGTGTGTGCTGCCGGTGATTGCGTGCCACGTGATCGAGGAGCCTACGCTCTGTTGGTGTGTGCTGCCGGTGTTTGCGTGCCACATGATCGAGGAGCCTACGCTCTGTTGGTGTGTGCTGCCGGTGTTTGCGTGCCACGTGATCGAGGAGCCTACGCTCTGTTGGTGTGTGCTGCCGGTGTTTGCGTGTCACGTGATCGAGGATCCTACGCTCTGTTGGTATGTGCTGCCGGTGTTTGCGTGCCACATGATCGAGGAGCCTACGCTCTGTTGGTATGTGCTGCCGGTGTTTGCGTGCCACGTGATCGAGGAGCCTACGCTCTGTTGGTGTGTGCTGCCGGTGTTTGCGTGTCACGTGATCGAGGAGCCTACGCTCTGTTGGTGTGTGCTGCCGGTGTTTGCGTGCCGAAGGGGAATTACTTTCTCCGCTTCTCCCTGCACGTGCATGAGTTGAATTAGAATGAACCGGGAGTCGACATGTGAGAGCATTGACCTGTGGGCAGCGTGTTTTTGTACACGGAACCGTGTGAATTGTGAAAGGTCGTCGCATCGTCATGAACCAGACACGTTGCCAGTGACAAACATAGGAACGGCCCAAATGATAGGTCGCTAAACATGCAGGCATTCCTTGTGCTGAATCGACAGTTTCTTCACTTAAGCCAAAATCTGCTTGCATATGCATTGCTAGATTGAAGGCCTTTTCGTTTTGTGTGAAAGAAAACTTATTGTTCTTGACGTTTTAAAACCGAATTTGACCCGATGCTCGTTGGACCCGACGCTGGATTTTTTCCTGCTGCAGCAGGGCGCCTGCACCCAGCTTTGGCCTGACCTGACCCTTGACCCCGTCGTCAGCCGCCTCTCAGCCGGTGCTCGCCGAGGAAGAGGTCACCAAGGGTCGCCACCGATAGGACGGCGCCGGCGGTGGCGGCGGCGTCCAGGCGCGCGGCAAGGTCAAGTCGGGGGTTATTGCTGGGATGGAGGTCAAATCGGGGTGCAAGACCAAATCAGAGGTCAAAACGGGGTTAATGGTCGAGGGAGAGGTCACGCCCGGAGTCGAGGTCACGAAGACTGCTCCGAAGTCCAAGGTCAAAGTTACACCTAAGGCGGAAGTGAAGCCCAAACCTGCACCCAGGTCCAAGGCCAAGACCGCATCCAAGGCCGAAGTGCAGTCCAAGGCGGTACCGAAGCCCAAGGCCAGGGTCGCACTCAATGTCGAACTGAAGCCCAAGTCCTCACCGAAGACGAACGTCAGTGCAGCCACGTCTAAGATCCCACCGAAGCCGGAACGCGAGCGAACAGCCGGGCCCGAGCCCAGCGCCAGGGCCGCTCTCGGGATCCCAGCCCAGCCCTCTGCGCCGGCCGCTACAGGGGCATGTGCGGAGGTGTCGGCGGCTGGCGCGGAGGCGGTCCGCGGCGCGTTCCAGTTGGTGCCGTTGGCCCCTGGGCCGCCGCCGCCGCCGCCGCCGCCGGCCGCGGGTCCGGCGCCGGAGCCGGAGCCGGAGCTGGAGCCAGAACTGGAGCCAGAACCAGAGCCAGAGCCAGAGCCGGAGCCGCAGCCGCAGCCGCAACCGCAACCGCAGCCGCAGCCGCAGCCGCAGCCGCAGCCGGAGCCGGAGCCGGAGCCGGAGCCGGAGCCGGAGCCGGAGCCGGAGCTGGAGCCAGAACCAGAGCCAGAGCCAGAGCCAGAGCCGGAGCCGCAGCCGGAGCCGGAGCCGGAGCCGGAGCCGGAGGAGCTTTTCCGGCTGTCGGCCGGTGTAATCGGACGGAGGGCCGCCTGGCGTCCGCTCTGCACCCTCCGCTGCTGGTCGCCATGACTGACAGTCGCCGCGAGGGGACGCTCGCCTCGGCTCTCAGTCACGGCTCCGGGTCACTGTCCCCGGCCATGTCACGGTCCCGGCTCGGTCTCAGACGCGTTATGTTGCGGGTCCTCCGGCACCGTTGGACTCTGGCCAGTCTCGGACTGGGCTGAACGAGAGTCGTACAGGGGCGGCGGGGGCTAGCGCCGGGGCCGGGTGGGATAGGTTGGGAGGGTCGGGAACCCGGGCTGTCAGGTGACACAGCCCCCGCTGACGGCTGCGATCTGCCGCCAAAGCTGCGCTGCCCAGCGCGGGCACGCTCGCGGAGCGCAGCCGGCTGGTGAGCTGGCTGTGGAAGAGCAGCAGTCGGGAAAACGGGCTGGCTGAGGGCTGGCAGCCGGCTAGTGATGAGCTGGCTGAGGACTAGCAGCAGTGGGGAAGACAGGCGCCGTTTTGGCGCGACTTCAGTGCTTCTGGCGGGAACAAACACCGACGCGATTACTTCTAGAGTTGCACGCGCTCAGCACGCGCTGGGTCAGCTGGCTGTTTTTTCGTCAAGTTGGGTTTTTGGTCTAGGACTGTCGCGAATCCCTTCCGATGACTCTTTCATTGTCCAAACATGTTTGCAATGCCTATGCCGCCAACTTTCTGTTGGAGCCTGGTCTCTCGTCTGTTTTGCCGCTGCCACTGCCATCTGTTGGTTTGCCGCCATCGCCACAGGCGGCGGGTGTTTGCCTCCCGCCCGGCGAATGTCCCAGGCAAGATTGCAGCTGCTTGTTTCTGGCGTTTTTTTAGAGCTTTTGTACCGTACAATAATGGGCACGGCTGTGTCCCGAGTGCCACCGAGTAGAGGTGTATGCGTGAGGCGGGTGATAGCGTGACTGTAGTGTTTCGTCCAGCTCTGGAATAAAGGCACGTTTTGCATAGTCAGGTGGTCTGCCCTAGAGCGGGATGCTGGAGACCTTGACAGCGGAGAAGGTCGATGCAATGGTTGACACAGGAAGGCAACCGCCCTTCCGCCACCAGAAAACCAACGTGGGACACCCAAATTTTTTTGTCCTTTAGATTCCGCAGCACTTTCTTGCGCACGGGAATGACCACCCACATTGACCAGACTTCTTTGTTTCATTTTCCGGCCGCTGGTGATCGCCCTGAAGTCATCATCAGAGCAGCCGGCCGCCGTTTCGCATGAAGTAGCACGCCAAAGTCATTGGAGATGCTTGTGCGCGCCATTAAGTTATGACAGAGGGAAAACCTCTGCAGTGGAAGGGAGCAGATGCTCACGTGGAGAAGAGTGGTACCACGCCCTGTGCCCCTTGCAGGCGCAAATGGTGCACACTTCGCGCACGTGGCCGCGCGCGACGCACGCGACATTAAACCCGCCCCGTCACTCCAATTCGCCAAATAGCGTTCCAATCACATTCCTGGCTTCATGCTGGGGCTATTGTTTGGATTTGCTGACGGAACCGACGCATTGGGTCCTCCGTGCTTCACAACCCTCGCACCGGGCATCGGCTTCCATCCAGGTCCTGGGGGCTTGAGGGCTTCACGAGAAAGGCCCCCCCCCCCCCCCTTACCAGCCTTGCACACTCCCCCCGTTTCGCACGCCTGTGCCCGCGCCCATCCACCACCATTTCCCAAAAGGCTTTATCAACCCGACCGCATTTTCCAGCTAGTTATTAAGTATGGAAGTCTCAGGGAAATTTGCACCCAAACGACTAAAAGTGGTGGGAATGGAGTTCTTACGAAAATAATTGCAAACAACACTGGTATTCCGCGAGATATTTACCCATCATTTGATAGATGCCTTATCCATGCCCGTAACTTTCCCCGGCACATTACCGAGCCAAGCCTGTTAGCCATACAAGGATGTCCATACGCAGAGTCGCACGCATGCATAACCCTCGTAGTGCGAGCTTCCACTCACCAAACGTGCGAGACAAATGAAACGCACATGACTGGCGGCTGGGTCATCTCCAGGTTGACTAACGAAAATAGGGGCTCGAGAGCGTGCGACGCTCCAAACCGGCAGACTGCGCGCGCTTACAGCGGTTTACCACGCTTTCAGCGATAGCTTTTGAGTAGATCGCAACCGCCCCCCCCCCCCCCACAGTAAGTTCCCGCGTGAGCTCCTCCTCCACCCCAACCTGCCAACCCATCTAATGGACGACACATGACGCCGCGTTTGCTCCTCACTGTTCGCCCTCCCCCAATGCGCTTTACATTTGAAATGTACAGTATCGTACTACTTTCGCGACCCCGCGCCGTCGCTGTGCTTGCTGTCAGCGCATTTCACACTGGATAGCACTCCCCTGCACCACCAGCAGTGACATCACCCTACCGTCGTTGGTACGTCATCAGCCGGTGACCTAGGGGATGACGTCGCGCCGCAGACTTGCACGCCCGCAGGCAAGCATACCGGATGGGAGATGACGCCACGTCCTAGACGTGCGTGTCCACAACGATGTGGACACGCAACCACGTGGACATGTGCAACCATCCGCAATTCCCAATGTTGCCAGTTACGGCACGCTCAACGAAACGCGTCGTTTCGTACAAAACTGTATTGCAGCTCCTCACAGACGCACGTGCGTGGTTGCGCAAAAATCCAGCAAGGTTTCGAACTCCAAGAACGGGACAAGGTCGGGCGGCAGAACAAGCACCTATGAGAGGCCACGTCACAACATGAAGACGAATCAGCTTCGGCGACACAGCGGGGGCGGGGCTTCGCGTTCCCGCCGGAATGGCTCTCGAAGCGCGGTTCAAAACGCGGATGGCGCGTGGCAGACAACACAGCTCAGTTGTCGTCGTCCTCGATCTTTGGTGCCAGGAAGTACCGGATGTGGCCAATCTCCTGGATGGTGTACTCGACCATGAGCGGGTACTCAGGCGACATGGACAGTTTCACCTGTGAGCAGAGGGGGGAGGGGAGGGGTGAAAGAGCGCACAGCGATCCAAGCAGCACCATGCAACACACAGACACACACACACAGATAGTAACTTTTGGGACTATCAATGGAACAAACCTGTGTTGAGAGAGGTGTGGCTTTGGTGAAGAAGTTGAGATAGCGACAGGCATAGGTGAACGACACTGGCTCCTGCATCTCGATGGTCACTGCCTCCTCTTCTTTGTCCACATTTGAAGACTGAGCCAGCTTGACATTTGCTGAAACAAAGGAGTCAACTAAGACATTGAACTTCTTCAACTCCTTGAATAAGATCATGACTATGATGTATTACCTATACACATTCAATCAACCTTTGACCAACCAATGTATGTTCACCATAAAAAAGAAACACATGGTTTCCAGACAAGACAACCAATTTCTGACAAGCATCACTTGGCTAAGAGCTCACCTGAGCCAATGTCTCCGGATGCAGAGAACTTGACTCCCTGCTTGCTGCAGCTGATCACGATGGAGTCTCCAAACTGGCTCAGGTCTCGGCAGATCCGAGCAAATTCACCAGCGGGCATCTTCACCACACATGCATATTCAGTCTCCTGCAAATAATCAATGTGTGCTTTAGGTCTTCAAAACTACAACAATGAGCGGTAGGATGAGCAAGTTGAAGGAAAAAAAGCAGAAAACTAATCAATGCAGTTAGGTTCCACAATTACCAAATTTGCAGGTTTCCAACATTCATGCAATCAACTGAAAATTCATTCAAGCAATGCTAGATATGAACAGCGGTGCAATAAACAATGAGATATGCTGTTAGTTACATAAGAATCATACACAATCCAAAACTAAATCTGGTTTCAAGTTTCAACACAAGGTGCAGTATATGATAAAATGGCTTACAGGAATCTGCAGATGTTCCTGATCCAAATTCATGAGCTTCATTTCATAGTCAGACTGCCTTTCCCCATTTTCTGACTCAAAGACAAATGTGACCGTGTCTGGATTGTCCTGTGCCCGGATTGTGACAATGTCCTCATTGCCAGCACACTTCAGGATCTTGGACATGCTGAAAATGGTGACAAAATAAGTTCCACATTGCCAGCCAGATTAACCTGCCACAAAGCCATCTCAAATACACCTGACAGAACTGAAGGTGGTGATCAAGGACAGCTGCTGACTGACTTAACTTCATTGTTAATTATTGAGCACACATGTAAAAGGCAGAGGGGGCCACAGACTGCCTGCAGCAAGACACCCATACTTCCTACTTCTTGCATATCAATCCTATGGTACTGCCACATTAAAAGTGGCACATGGTCGGTAGGGCTTCATAAGCCTGAATTGCCAATGCGCGACTCATTCACGGTTGTGTGGCATCCTCCAAGACAAGTGTCTCAACACAAACTCACCTGCCAAGATTCATGCCCATGGTCAGATTCCTGTCGCACCGATACTTGTCAAATCCATCTGATCTCAAATTCAAAGATACGAGCGAGACGTGAGCATTGTCCATGGCTTGAAGCGTAATTCCCATATCGCCACAGTCCCATGATGCCTCAGTGAGGAGGTCCTTTACGGCTTCAAGGATCTTCTTGAAGATAACACCCTTCGTCAGTCGTGCTTCAAACATATTGTATGATTTGATGAGGCGCTCTGAACCAACTTCTGTCGACAATGATAACTAGAGACACCACACCACTGCTAGGAACGTGACTTCCAAACAGCCACCCCACCGCGATCCCAGCGCCAAGTGGACCCGTTTGGCGCCAAGTTCTGTTACAGGCCCGCACAAGTTTTGGCGCCAATGGTGATAGTCTTCGTGGATCTGGTCGGTAGTGAGCACAAGCGTGTACAAACCAATGAACGTACGACTTTGGTCGTTAGCGCTGTTCGCATCTGCAAAACCTTTTTTCGTTAGACGGCATGAGCACAAGGCCACCTCTGGGAGAACCCGAATAAGTTTATCATGCTTTTAAAATAAGTAGTGGTCAACTACGTTTTTGTATTTAAATTACATGAGTTTTGGAAGATGCGCAAGATCTTCTCTACGACAATGAGTATGTTTTAGGCGGGAAACGGTTGCCCCAATGAGAAGGCAGAGCTGCTTATCGATCTCATTCTACTCACTCCTACGATGCTACACGCCAATCCGCTCTACGTGTCCTTTAACACGTTTATGGCGCTTCTTGTACATTTCGTCAGCTGTAAATAATGCACGGACCTGTCTCAAGCCTCCAGGGCCTCTGAGGCCGAGTAGTGGGTGTGGGTTCCGACGTGTCTTTTGTTGTGGAAGGCCAAGCTAACTGAAATTTTGGACACCTTGACTGTACTTCTTACACGCATGAGGCCATTTTTTATTCATCATTTGTGAAAGTTGGTGGTCGTAAGCGGTTGAAATCGGTGTTGCAGACTAGGTAAGTGTGGCCATATTGTGATAAATTATGTTCATTGCTGTGTCTTAATGTGGTAGTCAGCACCCCCGCATATGGGAAACACCATATACTAATGATGTGTCAATTTATTAATAAGCGTGTGTACTATTTGGATTTTGCTGTCTGTGTTATAGCCTTCCATATGCCAGTACAGCAATGCATTGTCAAAGCAAAAATTTAGAGATGAAACAGACAGGCATGACTACTTATAACATTGTTATGATTCAGTTTTTCCTGCTTCAGCATGGCATGCCTTACTTTTCACTAACTATGGCATAGTAATGGCAGCATAATGGTATTGGCAGCCCACCATACATCCATTGACGGGTATTGTAACAACCACACCATGCTCAATGAGCTGTGAAAGTTTTAGATTATTATTAGGTGTGTTGAGCACTGTAAGAAAGAGTTGTGCTTCTGTTTTAGCAAGGCCAACAATTTGCCAGAATTTACTTGACCAAACAGAACCCAGTCTACCTCCTACCCCAATGTCTACTACAATGTCTACTACCCAGTCCACCCCAATGCTGTGCTTATTCCTATGAAAACACCCATGCTCTTACTTCTGTCCATAGTCCTACTCCTATCCTTACCCCTTTTTCATGCTACCACAGTGGAGAGCTTCACCCCTACTTAGCTGGCTCATCAGACACTCAGCTGACCCACCTACCAATCATTGATAAACACTGCTGTTTGACACCAGGGTGCTGTGAATGCTGTTACCAGTAGGATCATTGAGCATCCAATTGCATTGTTTTCAATGGTGAGATGATGTATTGCCACTGTTTTCCAAGACTGATTGGTGTATTGCAGTCTGAGGAAGTCTAGTATGGTTGTTTTAGAAAGATTGCTTTATATATATATGCACATATCTGAAAGACCCCAATTAATGCCTGAACGCCTGTCTAGGAGGCTCCTGAGTTTTTATGTTTTTTGTGGCTATAGTTCTGGTAAAGGTAGTACTTAATGTGAGCATGAGGTTAAAAATCCTTATCACCTTGTTGTCATATCCATGGATGTGCATGCACACAAACTTAAATTTAACTGTCTGGCCTGCAACAGCCTCCTGAAAATGAAGCCTTTCTGAAAGGCCAGTAATTTTGTATGGACATCCATGCCACAAAGCTCAGAATGGAAAGACTTTGGCACAAATTCCTCATCACATGTGTCCATTTACCAGCTATAGGAATAACCTGAGGTGCAGAAGAGGAACCTCTGAACTTGATGAGAGACTTACAAGAAGTTGGTGAAAACATCAAAAGCTAGATAGGACGTTATGGGCATACAAACCAGCAATTGATGGGAAAAGGATGTATTGCAGGCATGAATGAAGGCATATAGTCCCATCAATGAGGGAGCTTGAAGCAGTTTGCATCATTAACAATCACTTCAGCATTATTTCCAGTCTTTGTCTAAAGAGCAGGAACCGCTACATTGCCGGCTTCTTAAAGAATGATTAAAACAAAGAGAGCAATGCAATGGGAACTACACTCTTATAAATATCATTGCCATCACTAGACATGAGATCAGACTAGACATGAGATCAGACTGAAACATTCCAGTCACATCCAGCTTCTAGGGGGTCTAGGCATGAGATCAGACTGAAACATTCCAGTCACACCCAGCTTCTAGATGTTGTTGAGGAATCAAACCTTGGTAGGATCTGGATGATCCTGTGAATGTACTCTTTGTTTTCAAAAGGAATTTTACCCAGTTTCCTGCTGCCACCTGCCTGGCATGTTGGAATGTGTCAGAATGCCAGATGAACTATCCCAATGGATGCAGTCATTTCTGAGCATGTGGCACCAACAAGCACTGGTGAGATAAATTATCTCTCCTTTATCTGACATCAACAGGGGTGTACCTCAGGGATTCATATCAGACCTTTTTTTCTGTCTAGCTCATTGATGACATTAGCCATCAGATGCTGTGTTTAACTCCATATGAGGATGCTGGTGGATGATGCTAAGGTGAATGATGATGTGGCACAAACATCAGTGATTGGCCTTCTGTAGAGAGCCCAGAGTAATGCTGTGGCCTGTTCTGGCTTTTGGCAGCTCTCACTTAATAAAGCAAACTCCAATTTTTGTTGCATTGGATCCTGCACTACCCAGCACATATGTGACTAGGGGTGTCTGACTTGGCCAGTTATGGACAGAGTTGAGCTGGTGAATTCATGGAAACCCCACCCCGCTCTGTCAGAGGCAAGCAGCTGCAACAGTCTTGTAGGCCACACAGGTCCTGTCTTGCAGACCCCACCCTGCTCTGTCAGAGGCAATCGGCTACAACAGTGTTGTAGGCCACACAGGTCCTGTCTTGCAGACCCCACTCTGCTATGTCAGAGGCAAGTGACCGCAACAGTCTTGTAGGCCACACAGGTCCTGTCTTGCAGACCCCACCCTGCTCTGTCAGAGGCAATCGGCTACAACAGTGTTGTAGGCCACACAGGTCCTGTCTTGCAGACCCCACTCTGCTATGTCAGAGGCAAGTGACCGCAACAGTCTTGTAGGCCACACAGGTCCTGTCTT